AGTCACTAGGGCAGGCACAGCCTGAGGACTGCTGTCCTACACACCATAGAGTCACTCGGGGTAGGCATTACCTGCTCTCCACAGTTCCTGTCCCGCAAGGGTGGCAAGTCAGCTTCACCCCTTATAGATGAAGGCTGCATGGTGCACACCTTCAGTGAGGAGAAAGGACATGCTGAAGGAAGCAGGGCAGCCAGAGTACCTGGCACTGGGCTGAGCAGGCCTGTGAGGCAGGAGTAGGCCAGCCTGCTGCTCCACACTGGCATAAAGGGCTGGGGAAGGGATTCAGGCAGAGTGCTCCTAGCGTTTGGCGTTCACATTCTCCATCAGTGACGTTCTGCCCACTGCCAGGGTGGGCAGGAATTCCTCGGAGAGAATTAGGTGGAAGAGAGGAACGAGTATCCTCTGTCAGTGACTGCCAGTGGAGCGCCTTGGCTGTGTGGTGTGAACCCCTGCAAGCCCTGCACAGGAGGGGCTCTGTGTCACTAGTCCAGGTGGTTCTGGATGCCCTGTGCTGCAGTCCCTGCCTGCTGTCTTGGCTGCGTTATCTTGGGTGCAGTCAGATCCCAGTCCCAGCTTCAGAGGATTCTCTCAGTAGCCCCTCCCCCAAGGCGTTGGGCATTGCACCTTAGCCTCGGGCTGGCAGGGGCTGGCTGCTTCCACTCCCTCCACACGGGCAGGGGGCCTGGCTGGGTCAGGGCTGATGGGCCTGCAGCCCCCGCCAGTGCAGCAGGGGTCCAAGCAGGGAGTGAAGCTGCCTTCAGCCTGGCACACAGGCCCAGGCCACATGAGTCTTCTGCAGAGCACCTTGAATGGTCTGGGACTTTTTATTCTGAGCATTTCCTTTGGGAAATGAGTTTTGGATCCATTTAGAAAATACCATAGTCAAGTTCTTTGTTTTTCCCTTTTGCAGTGCCAGGGACTAAACCCAGGGCCTGTGCATGCTAGCAAGCCTCCAGCACCAACCTGTCACCAGCCCTTCTTACTTTAGGCAGCTCTGACTTTCCCAGGCTGGCCTCCAGCTGGTGACTCTCCTGCCAGCCTCCGGAATGCTGGGATTGCAGACATGTGCCACTGGGCCCAGCCATGGTTGAGGTCTTCCTGGTCATTCCCACCTACCTGCCACCCTTTCCCCATCAGAACACTCCAAACCATACTTGAGTCAGCTGGTTGTGGTTTGTGACTGAGAACTAGCCTGAGGCCCTGGAGAAGTCCTGTTCTCAGTGTGGACTTGAGGGTCCTCCCCAGATATCAGCATGGCCGCCTTCCTCAAGGGAGTAAGGCTGCAGGCACAGGGTGACAGAGCCACGGAGTCTGGCAGTGAGGGGAAGCTCTGTGCATAGGCCAGCTAGGGCAGGGAGAACCCCGGGGACTCCCGTGGAGGTGTATTCCCTGCCAGGCCAAGCGCAGATGAAGCACCAGTGTTTCCAGCGTGGTGCCGAGGCAGGGGATGTCTTCATGTTTTCCTGTATCTTACAGATTTTCTTAAAGGAGTGTGTTTATTTACTTTTCTAAAAGTATAAGTGGTGTCTTGCTTGACAGTGTCACCAGTAGGAAGATGAATTGGCTCATTTGACAGTGAACTGTGGGAGCCGCCGCTGTACTTGAGTGATGACTGCTGGTCGGGAAATCGCCAAGCCTGAGGTGCAAACACTTGGGTGGTCCCTTGGCCCAGTAGCAGATAGGTGACACTCCCCGGGAAAACAGAGCATGGGGCTGGTGGGCAGCACTCCACACCATGATGGCCCCTGTCCCCTCCTTGCCAGCCTTGTGAGAACATCCATCTGCAGGGGTGGCATGTCCTGGCCCCTGGGGGAGGTGCCAGCCAGGCCAGAGGATAGCAAGCAGAATGTGTTCCCTGAAGTCACAGAGTAGCTGTTGAAGGTCAGAGCCCCAGACCCACAGGAGCAAACCGGAATGACAGACATCAGGTGGCCTCCAGGCTGCTCCTGCCGCCATCACTGGCTGACTCTCCACCTCCCTGTTGGGTCCTGTCTGATGCTGGGGGACCAGGGTCTTGCCCTTAAGAGCTCCTAGCCCTGAAGCGAGACCCTGTGCCTGTCCGCACTGCAGTGTGAAGGCAGGCTGACTGGGGAAGAGAGCTGAATTCTCGGTGGGGGCTGGGTACTGGCGACGGGCCCATTTCAGGCTGGCAGCAGCACCAGGCAGCTCTGGGCTGCTGCTTCTGGGCAGTGCTGCCCCCCGCCCCCACCCCATTCAGGAGTGCCAGGTGCCAAGATCAGTCAGGCCAATTAGCCAAGAGGTTCTTGAGAAGTTTTGTTGAATAAGCAAATTTGATGAAAAGCCCCTGGGCAGTAAGTCTCTGGAGTGTTGAGAGCCTTCCTCCGCTCTCTTGCTCTTTCCTTCTGCTCAGTCCTGTGTTGAGGCAGAGCACAGCTGGCAGAAGGGCCAGCTGAGAAAGGGCCACGAATGAAGCGTGGCGCTCCAGAGGTGTTGCAGGGGCCCGCGTAGGGCTGTTGGCCTGGAGTCGGGGAGGAGCATGGCAGCACGCAGGGGGCTGATGGGCTGATGTATCAGGGATAGCAGGAGCAGGTTTCTCGCTGTGTCAGGGGACTCTGCTGCACTATGACCCAAACACAGTTCCCATGGTGGGCGACTCCATGGCTCTGGGCCCATGGCCAGGCAGGACATCATGGCGGAAGGCGTGGCAGAGGAGCACTGCTCCATTTGTACCATCCAGGAAGGTAGGGGATGAAGCCTCCCAAGGCACACTCCACCTGCCTACAGTCACCACCCAGTCAGTCCACTCAAACGAGGACTGGTTAGGTTCCAGCTCTCAGTCCAATCACTCCACCTCTGGACCTTCCTGCATTAACAGGAGCCTCTGGGGGACTCTTGTCAGAACCATGACACTTGTAGATAAGGAGAGGGAGAAGCCCTGCAGAATAGATGGGAATGAAGGCATCGGGGTGCTGATGGTAGACACAGGAATGGCAGAGGTGGGCACGTGTACCTGTGTGAGGACAACAAGGCTTGTCAGAGCACCCAGGCTTGGGACAGCTGAAGGACTTGGAAGTGGCTTTTACTTGCAGCTGCGGTTTTTCCAGTGAGAGGCTACAGAGAGCATCCACCAGGGAGAAGGTGCCAGGTGGGCAGCCTCTCCTGGGTGTGGCAGATGCTGTGGCTGAGTGAGGCATGGTCACCAGGGGCGCTTGCTGAGCCTGAGTCCGCATACTTACTGGGGTCATCCCGCATGTGCACATGAGGCTTCAGAGCTCCAGAATAAAGTAGGGTTCACCATCAGTTACATCGTCTAGCAGACTGTTGGGTCGAAGGGTGTGATGCTGGTCAGTGAGCGTGTTCCTGAGGGCAGCCCAGAGATGGCCAAGGGAACACAGGCCCTTCCGGGGTGCAGGAGGGTGAGCCACTCAAGCCTGGGACTGACTTCCTGCATGTGTGTGTGTGTGTGTGTGTGTGTGTGTGTGTGTCCCCGTCCCCAGGGCTGCCCCCTGGGAAGGCTTGGGGACCATTCTTCCTGTACATGCATGTACTTGTTGGTGTAGGCTGCAGGGCACTCTTGCTTGCAATGCCCAGGGCTGCCCCGGCACATCCCAGGAATGGGGAGCACATCTGGAGGCTCATCTTCTCTTCTGATGGCTGTTCTCCTTGGTGGCACCAGCACTCCCTGGAGAGAAGGTGAGTGCAAGATGGATCAGAATACACCCTGAGATTGGTGGGACTGAGTGTGAACATACACAGAGGACTGGAGACACCCACTAGTCAGCCTTTTTGACATAAAAATAAACAATGAAGGTAATAGATTGTAACCACTGAATAAAACAGGAGTCCATGTGTTTATATTGATGTAAGTAAGTGAAGAATTCCTTACATTTACCAGAATTGTGAGGGACCCTCCAGGTACCTCCCTCAAAACATCCAGCAGTTTACCCAGGGAAGAGAACACACCCAGGGTGTGTCTGGGAGGTCCCTTCCTGAGGTGAAGAAGCCAGATCCTCGGTGGAGGACGTCTGGCAAGCCCCCTGAGCCCTCTCTGTCTCGAGAGGAGCGCAGAGCTGGAGAAACTACAACAGGTAGTTTAGGAGCACTGCTGAATACAGAGATGCTCCTCCTGGAGCCCTGAGCACAGTCCGGGTTCTCATTTGCACAGTGGGGAAGCATGGCTCTGCCTTGCGGAGGATGTGAGGACCCCAAATGAAGAGACCAGCAGGGCCGCACTCGGCACCAGCAGTCCCCTCTCAGCACACAAGAGACATATTGGTTACACGTTTTGTTAACTCAAAGGCAAAAAAATTTATTCTCTGATATATAAAACAAACAAACAAAAAATCTTTAATATATAGTGACATGGTTTTGTTGCTTTTCTTTTAAGAAACAAATTGCAGAAGTATAGACCCGGGTAGAAAAATACACTCTCACAGCTCCTCCAAGCAGCCTGTGATCCCTGCAGTTACCAGCAACAGGCACAAAGCTTACACACTGAGTAAGCCTTGTTCTCTTTAAAACATGGATTCATATTTGCGTAACAATTTAATACAACTTCCCTTCTTGGTAGTGGGCCCAGTTATTCCACGGACACTAATACCAGCAGAGACCCAGTGAAAACCTCATCTTGGTGATCCTCCTGGGCATTCCCGTGGCTCCACGGCTTGTCTCACTGGCCAGCACCTCCCCTGTGGCAGCTCCATGCGTCCTGGGGGCTGGATCCCCGCCCAGTGGTGTCTCACTCTGTCCTATACTCTGGAGATGTGCTGTGGCCCCTTGTACAAAATGAGAAACTCAGACGCAGGGAGGAAGCTACTCGGAAAAGGCTACTCTGCCCAAGAAAGAGTTTCAAAGGGAAAAGAAGTTTCTTTTCACTTAATTAATGCAGCTGGGCTGCACCAAATCCCTCTGACCTTGACAGATCAAGACAGTTCTGCTGATGGCCAGCAGGTGGTGCTGGATCATGCAGAAAGCAGCAGTGGAATTCAGGCTTAGAAAACCTGGAAAATACTCTTTGTTTGCAGGAGACTTATTTGGCCAAAGTTTGTTCTCAAAGCATAAATGTAATGTTTTCTCCCTGACATTGGATTTAAGCTGAAGACATACTTCATATAAAATTTAATTGACTCAAACATGAATAAACTTCTAAAAGTTTAAAGGAAAGTGACACTGAATTTAATATTTGTTAAAACCATTATGTTCATATGACTCAAAAGCAGGAGAACCCCTGCCTCTGACCATGACGTTAGGAATGGAGGTCAGTATGTGTTCATCAACTGACAGGAAGAGCTGGCTGCTGTGGGGGCAGAGATAACTCTGTCCGGGTGCCTGAGGCCCGTTGTCCACCACCTCTGCAGGAAACACTCGAAAACCTCCCCGAAGGACAAGTTGGGAGCACGCAGCTCGCAGTCACCTCTGGCAGTGCCTGCCTCACCTTCACTCTGCTTCCTGAGACGGTGGTGCCTACTGCTGTAGGGACCCACATGCCCGTGGGGGTCTGGCCTGGTGTGAATGCTGCTGCTGGACCTGGCACAGGCCTGGCCCCTCGGTCCTCTTGGGGAAGTCTTGTGCAGGTCAGCAGAAACCGCGCAGCATAAAGGGCATCTTCACGTGAGCTGAGTTAAAAAACATGAACTTCAAAAGCTTAATTAAAAAAAAAATGAAGTACTTTTGAAATTTAAAAACTAATTATTTCTGTATTCAGATCTTTCAGAGGGCTGGAACCTGCACGGGGGCCTGGCCTGGGGTGTGCATGTGTCTGTTAAGTTGTGGGGCAAAATTCTATAAAATAGTGCTGAGCTGACACAGAGAAGAGGGCTACGCCTGTGACCAAGGAGGAAGGGACACAAGCTGTCCTGGTTTTAAGTTGGCATACATTTTTAGCATATTCCTGCTAGGAATTTCACGTCTGAAATCACAGTGCCTCCCAGGGCCACCGGCTCCCACAGCCCCTGCGTGGGACAGGCAGCACTTGCCTCACCCAGCCTCTGGGCCTATAGCGTGACGGCTGGCCCGTGCTCCTCCACCCCGCCTTGCGGCAGGACCAGGCTGTGGCGGGGGTCCGCCTTCAGGGAGCAGAGAAGTCTGTGGATGCTGCCGTTGCTCTCCCGTCCCGGGCTGTGCAGCGCCAGGTCCCGCTGCAGCCTGTGTGCGAGGCTGCTGCCGTTGGCCCGAGACAGGCTGCCTGAAGGTGTGCCCTGCATCTTGGAGACACTCTGAGGCTCCAAGGTGCCCTCAATGACGATGTCAGCTTCCTCGTCGCTCTCCATCTCATCGGGGTGGAAGTTCTGCAGCACGTGGGCCACTGGCAGGCTGTGGTGGCTGGCAGTGCTGTCCGTGGACTGGCCAGAGCTGCCGGAGGTGCGGCTGCTGCGGACGACATTGTTCCTCTGATTGGCGGGCTTGACAGTGACGATGAGGTTGTGGCTGTTGGCAATCATCATGTCTGTGACCTGGTCCAGCGTCTTCCCCGCCACCTCAATCCCGTTTACCTCCAGGACTTCGTCATTCACTGCCAGCAGTCCCGTGCTCTCTGCCAGGCCCCCAGGGACCATGCGGGAAATGAAGATGCCTGGAACCTTCTCCAGCCCATGGGGGGTGACCCGTACGCTGGTGCCGTCTCGGATGTAGAAGCCCAGAGGCTTTTCGCAGCCATGTCTGTACAGCCTCACGCGGCGGTGCGTCTCGGGGAGGATGTCCACGTCGATGATGGAGGACACGGGCCGAAAGTCATGGGGCAGGCTGATGTCAAGGTGGGCACGACGGCGGAGACCCTCCTCCCTCAGGGTCACCAGCACCTTCTTCTTCCTGGAGAGGGTGCCAGCCCCAAAGCTGTAGTGGTCTGCCTCTTCTGAAACAGCCCAGAGATAGAACAGTGAGAAGCATGGCACACAGCAGCTGGCAAAGCTCACCAGCACAGCCTGAAGCACAGGCTGCAGGCCCCGCCCCTACAGCAGACCAGCTGTTTCCAAGCTTATGCTAGGCAAGCGCTCTACCCCTGAGCCCCAGCCCCAGCCCTCCCAGCTACCTTTACACTCCCCGCTAGTTCCCAAGCCCTGGCAGAACTGCTACGAGGGTCCTCGAGCACAGACACATGGGCAAGACTGAGGGGTCACTTCACCGCGCCTGCCCCATCCAGGCTGAGGCCCCAGGCACACCTGAGGTCAGCACAGGTGCAGTCGCCTCCCTGAAACAGAGGCACCTGGCCTGCCTGGCAGCCAAACCCAGTGATGGGCGATGGGGGTGCTGTGGCCAGTTGAGGGCCTTAGCAGGGCCAGGGCCAGCAGACTGTGTGTCCTCCATGACACCCAGATGGGTCCCTGCAGATGATCCACCTTTTGTCACACTTCCATTTCCAACTGTAAGGCAGAGAACTGGCTGCTTCGCGGGTCCCAGGATAGCTCCACACCCACACTATGGTCCCTCTCCTTGCACCTTGGCACCACAAGCAGCTCAGCCTGATGGAAGGTGTCCTCAGGACTCAGTTCTGCCCATTCATGGCGCGTGGCCAGACAGGGCACTGCTGCTGCCCTGATGGAAGACCATGGCAAAGTAAGACAGCGGACTGACCTCACTGGGCAGAGAGGGTGCCAAGGGCTTAGTCTAAAGGTTCTGAAAGTTGGAAGAAGATGAAGGGGCAGCCAGCTGGTGGCTGGAGTCCTGAAGAGGGCCATCTCCCTATGTCGGAGACAACACCCACGACACTTCACATTTATGTTAAGCCTCTTAGTGTTGACACAAGTTTCTGCAAGAGAGGCCCTTCTGGGCCCAGATGAAGGGCTCCCTCCCACGGAACCCCTGATGTACATGTTGCTCTCTGTACTGGCTCCCTGGGGTCTGCACCTCATGGTGGCCTACTCTGCATGGCCTAGGGGGCCTCTCTGTCCTTGCTGGTGAGAACCTGGCCAGGACCTCTCCTCCTCACACCCCTCTCTTCAAAGCCGCCTGTTCCTCAGACCCCGCCTGTTCCTCAGACCCAGCTCCAGTCACACCGGGCAGTGAGGGGCAGCTAGTTCACAGCAGCCCAGGATGTCTGTGCACAGCCTCAGAGCTAATCTTGGCTCTTCTCACTCAGGGGGCTGCAAAAGACTGAAGGAGTAAAAGGAAATAAGCCCTGGGCATCATGGGTAGGAAAGTCAGGCAAAACAAAAGAAGGAGAGCAGGGTGCAGAGATGGTGGTGGGCAAGAGTTCTCTGATAGCCACCAGCAGAACTAGCTCATTGTCAGAGGGGCCAGACTCCCAGAAACCAGAGCCTGCTGCAGCCAAACCCCATCCTTAGCTGCTCGCCACCTGCTAGAGGTTCCAGAAGGCCAGGTGCACAAAGAAGCACTCAGCCATGCAACCCAGGGCTGAGAGGAGAGGCTCTCAGACCATGGGCACCAGATGGCAATGACAAGAGTGGTGGCCCTGGGTGGCCGCACTGTGAGATGCCGGAGGCCGTCCTGCTGAGGCTGTGCCTGGGGAGCAGTGCCCACTCCTTTGGCCAGTGTGCAGAGGTGTGAGGCACAGAGAGGGCGGGTTCCACAGCGGCCACCTGTGGCTGGCTGGGCCTTGTTCCCTTGGCCAGGCCCATCTTCCTGCCACACACAGTCTGTGCTGCCACCTGCACAGGAGCTGAGCTATGCGAGCAGCTCAAGCCACCTCACAGCACCGCCTTCAGTGCAGCGACTGCGGTCGCCTGGGAGCCAAGGAGCCAGGACCTGACCCACAGCATGCAGAAAGGGGAGCACTGTGCACAGAGCAGCTGGGGCTGAGCAGAGGCTGTGGGCTTGGAGTTTCTGCCAAAGACAAAGCCAGTCCTCAAGGCTCCAGATTCTGATTTTGCTCTAATGAATGGAATTTATTCTCACAAATTGGTGCTCTCAATCTCTTATCAAGGGCCTAGTCAAATAATGGGTACATTTTGTTAGTGACTTAAAAAGTTCTTGTTGGGCTGGGAATATAACTCACTTGGTAGCTTGCCTAGCATGCACAAGGCCCTGGGTTCAATCCCCAGCAACACACACACACACACACACACACGTACTTGTCTCCCTCTGAGGCAGGGCTGCAGGGAGCAGTGTCGGCAGGACTGCTGCTCCTCCGCTTGCCTATGCATCTGGGGCTCTGGCCTGTTCTTGGCTTCTAGCTTCTCAGTAGTCTCTCACCCTTCTCCAGTAATGCTGAGCTACTGGAGGAGCCTTGGCCCCTCAGACCATGCTTCTTGGTCACCGAGAATGTGTCAGTCTCTGCCTATCCCCATGATCTCTGTGGTCTGCCTTGGCATCAGTGTCTGAACTGGCAGGGCAAGTGAGAAGCACGGACTTCAGAACCCCCTCGCGGAGCTGCTAAGCAGTGATGTGCCTGCTGAGGCATGCAGTGGTACTCTGTTCTCTAGGCATGTGGGCTGCCTATACTGAGAAGCAAGTATCTGCAAACTCCCAGGTTATTTTTTGCTATGTCAAAGGATTTATGCAGTTTAGTTTTAGTAGATGGTCTCCAGGCATCCTCTAGGTTTGGGGTCCATTTATGTGCCCTGGACATGGACAAGAAGAGTGTGTAGAGCTGGAACCTGGCTGATGGTGGCAAGGCTTATCTAGAGACCACGTGGAAGGAGCTGCACTCTTCAGGCTCCCTCAGGAGTGGGTGAGGCTGGAGGGAGGGGTCAGACTCAAGGTCCCTCCTCTATACCACAGCTGCCTCCTTCATAAGCTCTAAGACCCCATGAATCTGAGTCTCTAACCTTTGGCCTTTATTGCTAACACCCACTGCTGACTCCTCTGGCCTTGACCAGAGACTTATTTAACTGCACAGGGAGTTTTAGCAAATCTCAAGGTGCAAAAAACCAGCCATGTTCTTTAGGGCCCAGATGTTAACTTTGTAGTGCAAAACATATCAAAGCAATGAGAGTTAACAATGACGAGCAGACATGTCAATCAAAGCAATGAAAATGAACAAGGACAGTGGGCCCCACTGCAGTCCTCTGCATCACACAGACTTGTGGGCACTCGGGCCTGCAGGGGCTAGGAGCAGGGTGCAGCTCTGCAGGGCATCAGGGGGCAGCTGCTTGCCACTGGTTTCCTACAGATGCATATTGGGTGTGGGTGGGCATCCAGGGGCCCCCTGTCCTGAGGGGAGGTGGGTGCTGCATGGAGCCTGTAGCAAGGGCAAGAATAGTATGGGCATCAGGACTCTTCCCTGCCTTCGCAGAACTCAGGGGTCCTGGGAGAAGGCTCTGGGGAGCTTGGGCAGAAGCCCCGAGACCTCCAGGCCTGCCCCACATACCACCTCCAGCCCTGGCAGATGCCCCTCTAGGAGATGGTGGCTCAACTTTGATGCTGAGACTACACTGCTCCTCTGGGAGACATGAAGGGAGAAGCAGGACCCCTCAGGATGAATCCAGTAGCAGTGTGAGCAGCAGAGTTTCAAGGAACAGGATGTGCACTCTCACACTGGGTGCTTCTCACTGAGCATGGAGACAGGCAGGCTCTGGCCCTGGTCCAGGGTGTGCATTCTGAGCCCCAGTAAGGGATGCATTGAGCCCTGTCCTGGAATGCAGGTTCTGAGCCCAATTCTGGGGCTATGCTGATGCTCTCAGAGGGGCTATGTTCTGAGTTCATGGACTTATCCTGAGTAATAAGGAAATACTGAACCAAGGAGTATGTCTATCACTGGCAGTCAGTTGTGTCAGTGGGAGGGGAAAGTCTCTAGGCAGGAAGTAAAAGTGTGGGCTGCTTGGTGGGGAAATGAGCAGATGCCCCACAGGGAGGGAGGGGTGCGTGTGACTCTGGTTCTTCCCAAGCTACTGAAGAACTCGGGGGTCCTGGGAGAAGGCTCTGGGGGAGCTTGGGCAGAAGCCCTGAGACCTGGCCTAGTTTCGCCTGGACCTCTTTCCCAGCAGCTAGGGCCAAGGGCCTGTGTGGCTCCGACTGTTGCCAGGGAGCCCTGCCTATCTGCAGCAGGACAGCCCAGCCTGGGGCACCTGGCAGGGCCTGTGTGGGGTCTCAGAAGGCACTGCTCCCCTTGTTCTTTAAACATTACCCACCACATATGAACTTCCTTAGTCAAAAATCTCAAACTATCTTAGACTGTGTTCTGAAAAATGCCCCATTCCTAAAATTCCATCTTTGGTTCCTGAAATACCTTTTCATGAGAGCTAAATTGTCACAGCTTCTCAGTCAAGAATGTGCTAAATCTGTATTTTCCACAAAGTGAGCAATGGGAACAGCTTCCTCCTTTAGGGACAGCTCTCCCCATGTCTGTTTCCACTCAGATTACATTTTATTCTCTCACTTCTATTTCAGGATATCCCCCAAAAAGTGGGGAAGAGAAGCCTGTGCTATAAATCTCCTATGGTTATAGGTTTTCTTTTACTTTTTTTTTTTTTTTTGTAGTGAGGACTGAACCCAGGGGCGCTTAACCCCTGAGCCACATCCCCAGCCCTACCCCTTTTAATAAAATATTTTGTTTATTTTTCTATTTATTTACTTTTATATGGTGCTGAAGATTGAATCCAGTGCCTCACAAAGACCACTGAATCACAACTCCAGGCCCCCCAGTCCTTTTTTATATTTTATTTTGAGACAGGGTCTCGCTGAGTTGCTTAGAGCCTCACTAAGTTGCTAAGGCTGGCTTTGAACTTGCAATCCTCCTGCCTCCGCCTCCTGAGCCACTGGGATTACAGGTGTGTGCCATTATGCCCAGCTGATTACAGGTTTTCAAACTCGAGAATTTCTATGAAATCTTTCCTCATTTCATGTTTGAGCCTGACATGGATTAAACCCACTCCTGATCCTGAGCTGGCCTGCTCTCCTGCAAGAAAGGTTGGGGAGCTTGTAAAACCTGGAGGTTTGGGGGGCCACCCTCCTGGA